TGTCATTTTAACGATGTGCTGTAATTGCACCATCTATACCTGACTATGTTACACATCACTATTTTTCATGTGAAGTATATAAGACCTTAAGTACTAGACCAGAGTGTTTTAAATGGGCTCTGAAGCTGTATTCTAAAATACAGCTGCATGTCTAAATCAGTGGTGTTATGTTCAACAGTTGGTTGAAAACCAATCTGTCCCCATTTACATCAACCAGTTAGCAACCTAGCCACATACTTTTTGCATTCTTTAACCTGATAATCTCTAATTATTCTGCCTCAGAATTCCATTGAAGTGGGGTGCAGAGTCATTTTACAGATGTTGTTCTTTATTTTAATATTGTCTGATTTAAAAGGAAAATATTTCAAATAATAACATTTTTGAGGAAAAAAAAAGCATGAAAACCATTTCTGTTCCAAAAATTGCTGATATGAGAATTTATGGGAAATAGCTCCTTTTATGAATAATTATTATTATTGTGTCTAAGAAATGGGCAAGATGCCTAGAAATTGAATGAAAGAATGAGCTATTAAATTGAAATATTAAATGAAATAACTGAATTAAAAGTGATCATGTAAACCCTGCAGTAAATGTTGGGAGCTGTAGCTGGTTGAACATATTTTCATCATCTGTTTTGTATGCTTAAATACAATTGCTTGATGTAAGTAAACACTTGATTGATATTCTGAATACTTTAAAATCTGCATATGCATCACAGAATACCAAACAATTAAAACTTAATTTCAGTGTAGTTTGATTACATGTAAATTATTTCAATATTCATTTTTTCCTGTTCTGTTTGCTCAGTGCATATTTGATATCCACTTTTTGAATGCATATCATCCTTGATTGGACTGTGAGATGAGGAGGACTCTGAAATTTCTTCCATTAAAAGAGATTGCCTTATAAATATTATTTGTGCCACAGCTCTTCCCCTGCAGATTATTTTCTAAGTGTTGTGTACCCTTATTGAAGACAAGGAAAAAAACTGCTGCATCCCTCCTTTATCAGCCCAGCACAAAGAATATGCTTACATGGTCGATAAGCATGTCTAAGAAGGCATGTTGGTTGTAACTAGTCCCTAAAGAAATGTTTCCATCTTTTCTGCACTTTATTTCTCTCTTGCTTGCATGAGCTTTCTCTCCCTTTCCTTCCTCATCCTTCCACATGAATTTTTTTAACCTGGTTCCTAGACTTCTTATGAAACATTTTAATATTAAGGGTAATTATTACCAACATATTTCAAGTTGACCATTTTCAGCCTGAAAAAAATGTGTATCTCTAAGTGACTGCATTCAACTTAGATGCTGTTGAATACAGATGACAAAATTGTGCCTTTTGATCTATTTGTAGCACCTCTTATAAAGACTGCTCTGCAGGCTGCAATCCATGCACATTGTTTTGATCTACAGTATTTAATATGACCTTTTTTTCCTGAACATCCAACAGGTGGAAATCCTGAGCGTTTTATTCTCTTTTTATATATGCCAGTGAAATATAGCTTCTCCAAAGTTAATAGATAACATATTTTTTTATTGCTTATATATTTTATTTACAAGTAAAATGCTTTCCTTACGTCTTTTCAAAATACAAGCAGGCAGCAGGTCTGCCACTCCACCACGGAAGGCAGGTCTAGATTCTTCTCTGCCTTGACCATTTTTGACCCACATGACCCTTGTCATATCACTCTCATTTCCCCTAAGTTTCCTTTTCCGTACAACAGATATACTTAGAGCCATCTTTTTAAATTTTTGTAGGATATGTAGAAAGGTTGCATAAGTGTGTATAATAACAGTAATATTTTGTTACATGAAAATATAAATTTAATATTTTGTGTGCTAAACAGCTTTCAGGGAAATGGTTTTTTATCTGTCCTGTATAGCTAATTGCAGTTTGAGAGTTTTAATCTTGAAGGTCATATTTTTTTTGGCTGTCACTTTGACCAAACAAGTGGCTGAACTTCATGGTTTACAGGCAGATTTCCTTATCTCTCTTTTTCAAGAGACATGTAAGTCTTGATTGCTGGAGTTATTGTGAAGCAAGCAATAAGCGACAAGGTGCAGGGAGGGGTGGGAAGACACTCGCTTCAAGACCAGTACCCTGTAGATGCCATTTTAGAAAGTAAATATTTGTGCCTTGTAATTGTAGCACAAGAACAAGAGGGAGGGTGTTTTGCTTGCAGGGGGAGGGGGTTGGTTTGTTTGAGGAGCTGATAAACTGTAAGTGAAGTGTTCCCAAGACAAAACGTGCTTATAAAACAGACATTATTAGCTTGGGGACAGTCTCATGCTGTACAGAACTCTCTCTAATTGTTCCTGTAGAATAAACCCAACACAACTTCCATGCCAAAGAGACTCAAAATAATGAGTACATTCTCGTAAAGCAAGTTTGAAAAAAACTGGACATTCTTGACTGATTTAATACTGTTCGCCTAAGCAATGTAAACTTGTCACTCTTGTTAGAAACCTCCACCTTATTTTAAAGCAATTCCATTTATAATAATTTATGAAGTATCTGTGATTGTTATTTCCAGCGCTCTGTGAAGAGCATTTCTTGGATAGACTTTTTTCCTACTTTTTTTTTCCCTCAGTACAGATCTGAAAATAATGAGCTAACTTTCCAGTTTTATGAATAGGGGCCATAATGAGACTGAAGTATGTATATTGACAAAGGAAAAAAATCAAAATCTTTGTGAAACAGCAGAGAAATGACAGCTTTGAGGCTACAATTCCATTCTGCAGGTCAATCAAATGAAAAAGTTACTTTACGTTTTTTGGTTTCAGGCACTTTTGCCTTGGCTAAAGCAAATGTCATTCAAATAGTCTGTATAGTTATAACTTTGGAAAAACAAAATAATGATGCAGACATTCTTTTTAGCTGGTTGCATAGCTGGTTTCTGTTTGGTTTCCAATTTCCCCTCTGAATACCAAAAATGTATATTTAATCCATAATTGAAAAGAAAAATATGCCAGAAAAAGATATACAGGATAACTATTCAAGATACACATATTTTAACATGTACTTCTTTGTCTTAATTAAAGCGTAACTTCAGAAGCAGTATTACAACACAACATATTTTAATGGAAAATCCTTCATAGAAAGCACATTTAAAAGCTTCGGGTATGTAGATGTGCATGGTAAAGCAGTGGTGCACTGCCTCGTCCCCAGTGATCAAGAGGTTAACCTTAATTCATCTGTTCCCCTCCCTTAAACAGGTTCTGTGAGGAGGGCTGCAAATTAAGCTTGAAAGACACAGCAGGAAGATTAGCTTTAGGGAGGAAAGGACTCCCCACGCCAGCTCTTAGGAACCTCACCTGGAAAGTGTATTTCCTTTTCTACTTAAGCTAACGTATTATGCCTTCTTGTCACAAATGTTATTCCTTGAGGAAAAGTCCTCACCAGCTCTATCTCACGATCTGCTGAATTATTCCAAGTGTGCGGTAGAAGAGGAGGGAGCAGTAAGGCTTTAGCAAGAGGGAGGAAGAAAAGTGCTTAGGCATTAGGAGGATTCCAGTGTTTCCTCTTGTGCACACTGGCCTAAGGAAGAGCTACAGCATTGCCCACTGTTTCCTAAGGTACCCTCAAGGTACAGAACTGTGTAAATACTGGCATCCATATGATGCTGTCTGACAATATTCATTGGACAAACATAAACTACACCTTTCTTAACACTTAGAAATCACAACACTGCTTTTTCCCTACTGGTCAAAGAAGTCATCTCCTTCTCAAACTTCAAGCATCTACAACTGATCTATTGTTGAAATTGTTAAAAGGTAAAAAAGGGAGAAAACTTCACCAGTAATGGGGAAAATACAGAAATAATTCTATATGCAATCAATATTTTACTTCACAACTGAAATAAAATTGGAATACTTTGTTGTTTTACATGTCTAAAAATTATCACCAGATCTATTCTTGTAGGTATTTTTAAACCGTTTAAACATGCAGTAGAAGAATATGTGTACAAATAAGATCACTTTCTCACTCATATCATGGTTATCTACAGTTAGTACAAGAGAGGCATTAGCCCACTGCAGAATTTCTTGTTGTGGTTGCTTTTTGCCAGTGCAATGTTGTATATATTCTCGGAAAACTTCTGATGGATGGCTTGCTTCCTCCCACTTCAGTGGAATCCCCAAGGATTGCAAACAAGAGGATATATACAGCCTTCCACTGTATCTCCATCCTATGTAGGTATTCGCTGTAATTGCCAGGAGATGGTACATGGTCTAGGTAGAAAGAAGGTGGCAGTCTGTGTCATTACAAATGGAAGCAGCTGTTGTTTAGCAAGCCCTCAACCCACCAAAGTATAGGTCTCAGTATGCCATGATACAGCTCTCCTGGGTTAGTGATAAAGGTGAAGTTCCACATCCACACTGTTCACTTTCTTCACTACTGCATCTGTAGGCAATACTCAGGTGGTACCTTCTAGAGCACATTTAGAGGTAATCTGTTGCTCTTTTTCTCCATGTTTTACCTCATTGACACAATCTTCTTCACCATAGGATCTTCAGAAAACTCTCAGGAGTCTGTGCTAATACTGGGCTAAGGGAGTTAGGAGGCAAACCAATGTCACCCCTTCCTATTTTAGTCCCTGGGGATTCATGACTTTTTAGGATGACTCAGCTGGATTATCATCCTCAGGGAGCTGTACTGAGGGTTCTGTGAGGACAAAACTCAATGCAGTTGAGCTAGAATTGGCTAGCATCTATGTTGTGGCTGGTATCTTTCAAAGGTTTGGCTTGTTATGATCTACAGCACCTTCAGCTCCCTTCTGATTCAGCTAAATCTAATGGGACTCAACATTGAACATTACACTTGCTGAAGGTTTTAAATGATGAAGAAGTTCTGCAATCTTGATTATGATCATATGAAGTTTCCCCTGTAAAGCTTTGGCATCACTTTTGATGAGAATTGAAGCACTTCATCTGCCCATTAACAAAATTTGATGCAGCTCCCAAATTATCCTCAGCAAGTGACATTCCTCCTTTTTCTTGCAGGTATCAGAGATTTGAAAAAGCATTTCTGCTGGCTGTTGACATAGGTGCTCGGGATCTGTTTATGGTAAGTCATTTCTGGAGACAGAGGCTGTTATCAGGGTGTTAGTTGTCAGCTTTTGTGCACATTAGAATGGATCAGTGTCATTTGCAGTCTTAAACACATACTGAAGAGAGAACTATTCTACCTGTTTTGCCCTTTGCCATCATGAAACTCATCAATAGGAACTAAGTCTCTTCAGAGTCATTGACATTTTCCCTAGCATGGCCTAAAGGCTATTCTTTGTTTTCCAGGAATTAATGTATATGTTTTTGAACTTTCCCCTTCTTCATCTGTCCTGATGTGGGTGAATGTCTTCTTTCACCCTAATAAGCTTATACGTTTCTAATCTGTTCCTTTAAGAAGTACAACTGCTGAGTCCTGGACACAGGAGCTGGCCATATCCTGGGGATCCTGAATGCTCTTAGTTTGTCTCTTAGGGTTTTGTGAAATGCAACAAATTATGAACGCTTCTACAGGTACTTTTACAACAACAAAGGTCAGCAGCATCAACACAAGGGTTTTTACATTTCATGCACTCTCTACACCCTCCCATTTAATTAGCTACAAAAGTAAAATTAACCAGCTCTTAAAAGGTCTTCTGTGTGAGCTCTGCAGGAGGCTCTTGTTTTATAAGATCTTGCACCACAATGTCACAGTGAGGTCAGATGGACAAAGCCAATCGTGCTTTCCTAGTCTCTCAGCATGTTGCTGCTCCACAGCTGATTTCATTGTTTTCAAAGAAACAATAGGAAAAGGGCTTGTTGAAAAAAAAAGCCCTTTGAATGATTCGTTTGCTTGACTCTTTTGCATAATGAAGACATTCTGTTGTTTAAATTAAGCTTTGACACTAGATGTTAATATCATTTATCCCATTAAGTCACTTGCCCTGCTAGTTTGATCTTGATATTTAAATTGTATGTTAAATTACACAATTAAATCCTGCTTTTATGGGTTATGAAAATTCCCTTCTAATTATATAAAAAGTTGTGTGAACCTTTTGATGTTTTTTTCAAGGCTCTAATCATCTGGCTTGTTCCATCTAATTAGAAAGATGTGAATACTGCGATAAACTTTTCTAAGTGTGCATCAAAAGAACGTGATGGAAAGGTCAGACTTTTAGGAAATTCATTACATGTTTTATGTTTACTTGCCTTGATTTTTCCTCTTTTTAACTCACCTTTTTCCTTTTCTTACTGAATGTAACTTCTTCAATGCAAATTTTCTACCTAATCAAACTAGGCACTGCTGCAGCCACATGTAAGATTCAGACTACAACACGTCTGCAGCAGGTTACAGCTTTTTGTTGGTGGCTTTCCCACCATACAGACAATAAATTCTCCATGAGTAATTTCAGCCATTCTGGCAGAACAGATGACCCAGCATTTGGCCTGCTATCTCAAGGGCCCTCTCTTATATGGCTGAGAGCATTTCCTACATGATCTTTCCTTCCTTCTGCTGACACCAGGACTGAGGGAGCACCCCTGTCCCAGGGTGGGGAACACCAGTGCTGGCTCAAGAAAAGGGTGCAAAGCTGCTAACAAGATGGAGGGACTGTCAGTACCTGGCTCCACAAGTGGTAGCATGTCCTTCTCTCAATAAAAATGTTCTCCAGCTTTCTTCAAGAGGAGTTTCAATATTCACAGAGAAATTAGCTCCATCCTTTCGTACTCTTCTTTATTTTCCCTTGCCTCTCTCAACACCTACTCTCAATTTCCCACCTCATCAAGGCTCTTAAACATAAATATATATATCCATGCAGTTCCTCCTGGCTTACATTACTGTGAGATCAAAACCAGTTCTGTATTGTCCTCATCCTGCTTTGAGAGTCCTCATAGTTTCCCCTAAATTATGCAACAAGCAGCACACACATCTGCCTCTTCAAATCCTCTGTTAAGTCGCTGCCTTCTCTGGGGAAATGTCCTTTTGCTAATTCATCTCCTAAAGAAGGTACTAATGAACAAACTTTACAATAAGCTAACAATGGCACTGCTGTGAGACTACTTAAATATGGGACTCAAGAAATTTGAAGGTGCATAGGTCATAAGAAGTATTTGTTTCTGCCACAGTAATTTCTAGGGAATTGGGCTTCATTGCACTAAATACCTTGTGAAAATTAGATAACTTGTTCCCTGAAAGCTTACAGTCCTTCTAGGTAGTAGTATAATGATACTATTGCTGAGCAAGGTTTGTGCATACTTCACTTCTGCTTAACTGAATAATTTCTACACATTGTTTATATAGGTCAAAATGCAATTAATAACATACAACTTGACTTTACCTATATTTAAAACATTTATAATTATGTGCAGTACAAATACCTATACTGTTGTTTTACAGACCATCGAAATCCATTTATAAAACCTCAGATGGCTCTAGGAGTGACATAACCTTATTCCCAGTGAATTTAATGGAATTTCAAGAAGAAATAGTAGACTAAAGGAAGATATCAGCTGACATAAGAAAATGAGAAAGAAAAATTTTTATTTATTAAAGGGGAACAGAGAAGGAACAGGAAAGGACAGAGAGGAGCAGATAGAACAGAGGCTCGGGAGTTTCCAAACATTGAATACCCGTATTCTGAGACTTCCGGAGAAATGTCCTATGTCTTGGAGAATTTATCCTGAGCATTGCTTTCACCAGACAGGGCTCTGCAGTACTCCTGTTATTTGTTTTTGAGATTGCAAAGAAGCTTGAGAGAATGCTATCTGAGGGCTAATTTCTGTCAGAGAAATGAGAAAGAAAAAACCAAAAGGGCTTAAAAGTTAGTCCTATAGCCATGGCGTCACTAGTATGATGCCATAACAAGACACGCATACACTGCTGTGACTCTCCATAAGCTTTACCCTCACGTCACATCTAAGTCCATCAATTATTATCGTCTCCTACAAAGTTCAATAAAAAAATAAAACTGAAAAGGACATAATATCATGAACAACAGCTACATTTATTGGACAGTGTCTGATCCAATCTGTGACAGAAAAGATCAAGCATTAGAAGGGTTGTTAGCTTGAAATCCTTTTGTAGTATGCTCCAGCTCTCAGCTGCTGAAAATTCAAAAGGCCATCCCACGTACCAAAGGTAGCAAAAAATGCATGGAAAAGACACTTTAATAAAACTGTCAGATCTTGGGTGATACACTGATGAGGAAAGTGCGTGTTTCGAAGAAACGTTGGAATTTTGCCCAGAAATATCCTATAGACAAATGCACATCAGTGTTTCAAATGACTTTTGCTCACCAAGGGCCAGCTCTGTGAGTCACAAAGATGATAGTAAAAAGGAAGTAGTCCAAAAAGTAATCAAACTGTTAAATGATAAAATGCAGCCCTTTCAGCAAACTCCTGACAAGCAGCTGGAAACTGTTGTTATTGTCACCATTGTTTTTGAGAGGGATGTGATCTTTGGACTGATAAATTCTTAGATAATTGTGTGGAAAAATCTGTAATGAATATTCAGCTAATTTAATTTTTTTCTGTTGTTCTTTAAGGCACCCAGTAATCCAGTGCTGCTGCTTTCTTTTTTATTTATTTGCTAGTTTTAGTTATTTTACTCAGTTATAAATTCTTAGAAAAAATCAAATTTTGCTGGCTTATCTGAATGAGGAACACCTAAATTTGATCTGAAACCATCTAATTAGGAGGTTTTATACCTGTAATCTTTTCTTTCTAGAACTCGTTTAGAGATAGAGACAAGAGCTGCTTTTTTTATTATTATTATTCTTATGACAGCAACTTAGGAAACCATGAAGAAAACAACTTACCAGCCTACTGCTATATCTTTATTTCTTACAAGGCCCCTGTTAGTTAGCAATGGATATGCAGCATCGTTACATTTAGGTACTCAAACCAGAAAACACAGGCAAAAAGGAGATCTGGAAATAACAGATCTTGTGATGCAAACAGCATGTACCACCTCTGAACTGAAAGAACTTTGTCATTTTCTGCAGTTGTTTCCATCCCCTCCCCAAGTTTGTTATTTAAAAGTGCATGAAAGTATACAATACTTCTCTTAGTTTAAACTGCAGAAAGACAGTTGTTAAGCATAGTCAGAATGTATTTTAAACTAGTGAACACAATCTGCCTATACATTCAAATCTTTCTAAGTTCAGACTTGTTCAAGAGCCCTTAGGTTTTCTATTGTTATCTAAATAAGCTGACAATATCTACTGTTTAATCTTCATAGAAATCATACCTTGCTACTCAGGCCCTTTTCTCCTGACAACCATGTTAGACCTACAAAGAGAGGAAGTACAGAGTTCGCAGCAAGTTCGTAACTCATTACTTTGCTCCAAGACACTTGCACATTTTTTAAGTCACACCTGTGTTTTTAATTAGAAAACGTTGCTGTCTCCTGCAGACTGTTGGGATCCTGCAAGGCAGTACCATATGTTTTCCTGCATAATCAGTCTCAGTTTCCATAATATTCTCTGTTTGCTTCTATTATTATTATTAATAGTAATATTAATATTATTAATATTAAATAAATGGATAATAAAAGCACCATCTTTTCCTCTTAACACTATCACTCTCACATTTTTCATCTAACTTCTCTTTCTAGTGTAAGGTCACCTTTTCCTGGAAGAGTTTCTGTCATAATGATGGAGGTGGCAGTAAACTCATAATTATGAGAAGGACAGTTTCGCCTGAGATCTTCTGCATTAGTGATAATGTATTTTTTTTTATGGTATGCAGAAGTCAATATTTCCAGCAAATACTCATTTTCCTTTTGTCCTGGGTTTAGCTATAGAAGTCATTTTTCTCCTTCTTAGTAGCTGGTGCAGTGCTGTGGTTTTGACTTTCAGCCTGGGAACAATGCTGATAACACCCATGTTTTTAGTTGTTGCTAAGTAATGTTTACTCTGACCACGGACTTTCTCAGTCTCATGCTCTGCCAGGGAGGAGCGGCACAAGAAGGCAGGAGGAAGCAGAGACAGGACACCTGACCCAAACTGGCCAAAGGGGTATTCCATACCACAGCACATCATGCCCAGTATATAAACTGGGGGGGAGTTACCTGGAAGGCCCAGATCGCTGCTTGAGTCGGGCTGGGTGTTGGTCAGCGGGTGGTAAGCAATTGTATCCTCTCCCCTTGTTATTTCCATTATCATTATCATTATTACCCTTTAAATTCCTGCATGCAGATAGATTGCAGAACAATGGCCACGAATGGCTTAAATCTTTGGATGCATCTTCAGCAAAGAAGTGGGGAAAATAAATTTTGCCAGCTGTATTTGGATTTCCCTCATTTCGTGTGTCACAGTTTATGCACAGAGCAGCCTGTGGCCATGACACCAAAGGAGAAGGGGATTAATTGTCACTTTATTAATGGTCAAGGATGAAACTTTACTTGAAGAGCCAAAACCAAGGGCATTGAGGCTGTAATTTGTTAGAGAAATATATTCTCCCACAAACTGTGCTGTGTGTAATACAGGTGGTTTTCACCTCAAACATTAACACACAATTAAAAAGCCTTGTAATTCAGCATGTCATGATATACCCCTGCTGCAGCCCTCTGATTTTTAACCCTACATGAAGGACTAGATTCTGAGTATTGGCAACTATTCGTTGTTAGACAACAACATTTTTGGAAAGCTTCTTGTGGTCCAGGAATGACTTGGGAATCATGTCACCTGTGTGGGTGTTAAAACCATTGAGCAACTGTTGTCCTGAAAGAGAATTACCCCAGAATTCATGTACTAGGTAGAAACCTTAACACACTTTAGATAGGGGCTGTCAGCCAGAAGAGTTCCAGTACTTCAGATCTGGTTTACACGGAACCACCTCCTATCAACCCTCTTTTAATTCATGTTGCACCTACAGAAGTTACCTTAAAAGCAGGCAGATTGGTTTCTTTCATACACTGAGTCAATAGCTTCACTTTTATCAGTGCATGATTGGTCAGTGTTTTATTCATTGCTGTGTTCAACAGCACAAATAAGATAATAAATTTGCATTGGGAGGGAATTAAAACGTAATGGTAGGTTCATCAGTTCCATCTGTGTTTGTGATCTAAATAATAAAAGAACCTCTTTCTTTCAAAATCCCTTTTGTTACTCCTATGAGATTCATTTTAGATTAATCTCTTCTTTTTTTTTCTCTTTTATTTCCAAAGGACATCCATTACCTTGCACTAGATAAGGGTGAATTGGCACTAGCTGAAGTGGCAAAGAAAAAGGCTAATGACATTGATGCAGAATCAATAACTACTAGAATTGGTAAGAATGAATGGTGTTTAAAAAGCCCTTTTTGTTTTAATCAATACTTGTCCTGTACAACACCATGTTATATTTGTAAGGGGGTTATCGTTTCAAATGCATTGTTTCCTTTGAAAGTGAGACAGTATTTTTATTCATAACTAAAGAATGAGGCTTATAAAAATAACATAGCTTTGCCTTTCAGTACCCATGTGAGAATTGTGTCAATGCAATAGCTACAAAGCAAAAAAAGATTTATGCTATGGCTATATAGAAAAGTTCAGGCTGTACAAACTGAATGGAGTGCAAGAGGTAAGTGACTGAATCTAAAAATCTTTGTTCATAGTAGTGTTGAAGTTCAGGTGTGGCAATCTCATCCACCTCTAAATTATATGCTCATACACACTGTGCCAATGAATGGAGTCATATCATGGATGTTTTGGCAGCGTTTACTGATGTGAACACAGGCTCAGATCCTGGCTTTAAGGTAACAGGTTTGCATGCAGTGGGATTTTTGCCATTCCATAAGGAACACTGATGCAAAAATTGCAGGGTCAGACTAATAGCTGCAACACAGACAACTTTTCACGCAGGGGAACTAGTAACTCATGCACTTTCTCCTTGTGTGTCCTCTGGATTGTCACAAAGAGATGTATGCAAATATGTGGAACGTTCTGGTTTCATGCCCGTAGCACGAACCAAGCAGAAAGGGTCTAAGTCTCGTTAGCCAACCTCCAGCAGAGAAAGCAGACAAAGAAAAAAAAAGAACACAAAATGTTTACATGAAATATGCAGTGCTGTTTTCCTTATTCTACTGCATCTTTGAATAGTACGAGGAAATCACTGAGCTTTTGTCCTTGGCCCATGCCAAGAAGTAGAATATGATTAAAACTCAGAAGGAATCAAAAAACCTTTCAGATCTTGAGTAACGTAGAATTCTTCTAGACCTGCGCATCTTGGTGTTTACCCAGAACATACAAGCAAATGCAATTCAAATATACAGAACTACAGACAAGTTGTATGTGCGTTTATGTAGCTGTTTCTATGTATTGTATAAATCCATGGCTTTCAAGGCTATGCGATGCAGTATCACCTGCTTCCCTCTCCAGTAGAGCAGAAATCAAGCAGTGCCTGTCCTGAACTCTTCTCTCCAGGGTCTTTCATTTCAAGCTTAAGTCACTTCAAGCATTTTTTGCACCACAACTGAGCTGTTGGGCAAGCCCTTTCATCACTAGAATTGCCAAAGCCAACATTTGTTCAGGTCATCTGTTGCTGGGCACTCTTTATAGTTTATAGTTACATTTCCTTTGCTTTCTCTTCTCTTACTTCTTAGATAGTTGTCCTCTGCACCTAATAGAACTAAGATACCTAAGACTCTTACACTTAATCCAGAAAATTTAAGCTTCAATCTGCCGTCTTCATTTAATTCCCTGCAAACTTATCCTATTACTAGATTCCTGACGTTTTTTAAGTTTACTGGGAGCCTTATGTAATGTTATAGACATACACACAAAGAGAAGAAACGTGAGGTGCTCACAGACGTCTTACTTGCATATCAGATATAATGTATGCATTACTACAGTTCAGTTGTAAACATGCAGGCATGCAGCTTTCCCCTCCTTCAGAGCAGTCCTACAGTTAGCTCTGTAATGCTCCATAAGCATAAATTATTAAAGTCATTTTATATGATAAAGTCTTTAAAGTGCTCTCATTTGCTGAATAATTAACTATCAGAATGATTTAAGATACTTTTCAATGCCCCAGGGACAAACTGTCACTGAGATTCAGTTTATAAACAGTAATGAATTTGCATCCAATTCATTTTATATGAAAATAAACAGTAATCTCCCATGAGTTCGTTTCACTGCAGATTGGATCTCACCTTAATCACATGAAATCTTACCTACAGGTTTTGTCTTATGCTTTATTCCAACGTCTTTTCTTGATGATGTTTTTATTTCATAAACTGGTGTTAGCAACAAAGGTGTCAGTGAGAGGCATGAACTCTGTAGACCCAGTGAAAACAAAAGATAACAAGTGCTTTTTTAAAGAATTACTGTATTTTTCAAACATTTTGAGAGGGGAAGAAAAGCTCGTGCCAGAGCCAGAAGTTTTAAAATGCAGTTTCAAACAAGTCCCTGCTCCGTAACCATCTCCTAAGCCTAGTCCTCTTCACCTAGTCCCTGCTCTCTGGAGCTTTAAAGTCACTCAGTTCACTAGCGGTCACACTTCCCAGATCAAATCCCAAATTTCTTGAGCACCCACTTCAGGCTTCTCAAGAAGGCAGCAACCTAAGCAAACTGAGGGAATAAGGTGCAATCAGTGCTATTGATCCCAAGTTATATTGAACACCCCCTAGACAATATCTGCCCTCCCTGCAGCATGTTTTAAATATATATATTACAGTATAATATTTGGTCCTAAATAGTACAAATGTGAACTGTTCTCATCTATCAACATCTGATGATATTCCCTGAGCTAGGCCATGACCAAAATTCAGCTCAACACTACTTGAAAATTATGTGAGTCAGTGATCCTGGTTGCTTCCCAAGCTCTTGAGAGTGTTCCATCTTGCCCCAGATACATTTAATTTGTCAAGATATTTCTGTGTACAGGGCTCACTTCAAACACAATGTATTTCAAACTCAGACTTTTGGAAAAGTTTCAAGCTCCTACGTATAATGTGGAATGACAATATAATTTCAGCTGAAATTTATAGATGTCATCCAGAGTTCTATAATCATTGGTGGATTGTTCACATATATCAAGATTTGTGTCAAGATATAACTAAAAATAGATTGATTCTGTTAAAATTTTCTGAATTTTAGCTCTCCTCAGTTCATCACATTGCAGTTTGCTATACACTGTTTTGAGGAAGCCACTCATAGCTAAGAATGTCTGGGCATATGTGGTAAAAACACCTGTAGACCTTCAGAGCATAGTAGTTTGGTGAGAATATTGCTGAGCAAAGTCAAGTGTCAAGTGAGCTTGCTGCCATGGTTTTGGCAGAATCAGGTATTTTGTTCAACTGATTAAAATCTTCTCATGAAAATTATTCTCAGAAGATTTTACGTTTGACAGCCTGTGAAAATGCATCTTGAGGCATGAGAAGATTGAACTAATGGTACTGTATGTCTCAGAGACTGCATTAGCTGTCTCTCTTCCCTCACTACCATTTTATCAGCAGACCAGTGGCCATAGATACTGTGGTTTCCTCTGCCAAAGATTTTCTGTTGAATTATTTCTGTAGTAGATCTACGAGTTCCTTAGTGAGGTCAGGGAGTTCTCTCTTAGCATTGCCTAAAATGTATCCTTGCACCTCATTTAGTTTGATTACAACAGAGAGGACTTTCTTCAGTGTTAACAGTATTTGTAGGTTACTAATAAATTCTGTTTATGGAAATTCTGTTTATGGATGTAATCTTGTATATACACTCCTGGAACAATATTGTCCCTGGTGCAAGTGTGTCTGTTCAATGCTGTAAACTGTAGGTTGCTAATGTAAAACTTGAGTTGTAAAGAACTGACATAGCACAGCCTGTTAAGAGATGCCGTAACTAATAATGATCACGGAGGTGAAGAACTCAGCCTTTCAGACATCATTGCTCAATGAATATCCAATGAAGAGCATATGTAGTCAGTGTCAGAAAGTTTCCCAAGGCCAACTTCCAACAAATTGCATTAGAGCCTAGCAAGATGATTTTAACTTTTGAATCAATAGCTTTCACCCAAAAGGGATTCATGTTATGACAAGATAGATAACTGCTGCATAGTTGAAAGGCAAATTGGGAAACCTTGTATTTCTACTGTATTAAATTCAGAATATTAGTAATGCTAATGTTTAGGCAACATTTTTAACAGAGATATCTTAGTAAAAACACTGATGTTGAGATAATTGCATTGTTCTGAAATGCTAGATGAGACTGACTAACATTTTGGTGGTTCAGTTATGTCTAATGAAAGCACTTGAGGTTTTTCCACTTAAAACAGAATTTTAAAACATTTCTGGAAATATTCCATAATGTTTGAAAGTGAGATCAGAAATCTTATCAGTTCTCACAGAGACTGAGGTCTAATTTCCCACACCATTCATTAAATGATATTTAAAATGTAGAGGCCCTAAATATTTCACCTTAATGGCAAGGAATGTCACCATTTTGAACCGAAATGGAGAACTTGTTCATTTCTTCTTAGTTCTGTGATAACTATTTTATGTTCTTTGTGATAATTAATAATGACACATGCTGCAGTGTTTTGTCTTCCATACAGTGTGTCTTGAGATACCAGTCTGGTCTTGCATACAGTCTGCTACCTCCAAATCACTTGTAATTTACTCAGCTCTTCTCCTATTCCCGACAGTCCTGGCAAGCCTGCTTGCATTTCAAGACCATGTTTAGAATTGTCCCTCTGTTTTTGTAACCTTCTCTGGCCCTGCATTAGCCTAGTTGGTAACATTTATTCCTCTTCTGATCCCTAATGACTCCTTTCATCTATCAAGCAATAGACTTCTTCCTTACCTTCATATGCCTTCTGTGATGCTGATGACAAAGCCTTCTTCATTTCCTACTCTTTCTTGGCATGTGCATCTTTCCCTTGCTATATCAAGTTTCAAGATAACTGAGAGTCTTAGCCTTTTATTTCATAGCATGATTGTTATTTCACTGTGTAACATGTTTATGATATGCTTAAAAGGTACTATCCAATGCACAGATGAACTGTGATCTGGAAAGACTCAGGAGACACCTGCTCATGCTACATTTTTTTGGAGCTCTACTCCCTTTAGTGTAAATATAAGATCTCCTACTTATTTATTTATATTTTCAGTTTAAATCAATCAAAACCTCTGGGATCAAATCCTTTGCCTTTATTTTTCTAATAATGTGACTTTTTCTTCAGAGAGACAGACGAACATTTTTAATGAAAAATGTTTTTTAAGTATGATTGGCAGTTCACCTATGGCAAGAAATCAGTTTTCACAAGCACTTTCTAAATTTTGTGCCACACAAGATGAGTGTCTTTGA